GTGCACAGGCGCTCGCCTGTGCGCAGGCGAAGTCCGTCCGCGTCGATGTGCTGGCGCGGAAGGCGTTGACCGCGGTCAACCGACTCCGTCCAGACTGTCCGTTCCTTGTCTCTCCGTCGGCGCTCTCGCCGCCGCAACTCCGTCCGTCCAAGAGCGCATCCATCCGTCCCGTCCGTACAGTCCGCACGGTCCGTACGGATTTTACTATTCTGGCGGCTCCTTGCTCGTCCGCGGCGCTGCGCTGGCGCAGAAGGCGCCGTACAATTTCTACCTCACAAGGCGCATTTCTAGGGCCCAAGGCGGATTTCCCGCCGACCCCGAAGCGCCTGTGCACAGGCGCACGCCTGTGCGTAGGCAAACTTCGCGCCTACCTCAAACCCTATTTCGCCTGTGCGCAGGCGAACTTCCTTCGTCCGCGCATAGGACAAAACTTCTCCACCTGTGCACAGGCGAAGAGCTGAGTATCTTACAACCTTCATAACTCCCGGAGTCCTTATCCGTTGTGGGCGTTCTTGGGCTCGTTGGAATCAGTGCGTCAAGCTCTCTGCAACGAGACCCTAACTAAGTCAAGGCGTCCGGGGGTTGACCTAAATATGAAGGATTTCCCTACCGCCGCGGACAAAGCTCCGAAGGCGGGTTTTGCGCCTTGCGCCGTAGGGATCCTAACTGCAGAGCTCGCAGGGAGGGTGGTGCCCTTCCTTACCGCTACACCCAACTCCTAGATTCTACGAGATTCCTTGAGAATCTCTGCGATCTTCCGAATTCACTCTGTTTTGATGCACCGAAGGCTATTTACATTGCTGCAAGGGTACAGTTTTCCAAAAATGTTTTAATTTACTCAAAATTACCAAAAGTGGGGTACCACAAACTTGCTATGCTAGCACTCGAAGATGATAATATCATCAGTTTTGAGAGTTTTAGCCATGTGCTGATATATTCCTACTACTAGAGGTGTCCTACGATCGTTCCTGATTGCTCAAGGCATCCAGCATCTAGAATACCATGCGCGCAGAATGTACACAACTTGCTCCAGTGCTGCCTCAGGATCTAGAATTAGCGCTTAGGTTACATAACTGGACCTGATCGGAGATAATTACAAGGTATTGTCAAGCAAAGACTGCACCATCATGTGCTTGGATAGATACAATGAGCAGTGTGATCTGTTTAGTGTGATGGTAATAGAGCTAGATCGAACTGCAAGAATAGTTGCTGGCTGCATTCAGCAACTCATTGAAGACTTAATTTCCTTACACTGATACAGGTGAGGAATTATAAACAACGATATATTCTGTCTCTCGTGAACTTGAGTTTTTCCGGAAAAAAAGAATGAAGTTTTGATCGAGAAATCAAGGCCATATTCTACTTCGGACTTCTTCCAGAACTGGTTTTGAAAGGAGCTTGAACATTATGGTAAGTAGATTGTAAATCAGCTGGATTTCAGATTTTTGAACCTTTCGAAACCTTAAAAGCTTTCCCATCTATGTTTGTTTGTTCTGAATTCTCAAAGTTTAACAAGAAGAATAAACCTTCTATGGACGGATTTGTCTTATTTCTTTTAGCCTCTAAGGTTTATAATCTGGACAGCTTCAGTTTAGGATGGTTTGCGTCATCCTGTAGATAGCTCCAGGGATGAATCAAATCAAGAACTTATCAGCTCCTTGTTTTCTTTTTTACTTCTGTTTATAAGGAAAACATAAATGTCATTTGTTCGTACTTTTAGGAGCAATTGTTGAACTGAAGATAGTATTATTTATGAACTATGGAGAATCTGGTTTTTCTAATTCTTGAAAAGATTCAAATAGCCACGATGTCAAATTAGAAGTAACAAGTTGTAGGAGTTTGGAATAATTTCCCACGGAAATTTCATGGTTAAGTAGTATTGAAATGTAACAACGTGAGTTATATCTCACTTTGGAATATTTTGGAATAGGTTTCTGCCCAGGGGCAGAAGGACAACGAATATGGCATCCCGACGTCAAAATGGTGACCGACATTCAGCATGAACACAAAAGCACGAGGACCTAACATGACACGAGAACCCTTCTTCGGAATCTGCACCAGCTTCCGCGAGCTCGAATGTAGAACCAATGAGCACGACAAGCCACCGAAGCTGGGAGTGAGCGCTCGTTTAAATATCTTTCAGTATGCCCTGACGGCCAGGCGTGTGAATGAAGAATGATCGGGAGGGCTGCCTACGTGTGGAGAACAAGGTGCTGACTCCTTGACATGTAAGCAGATCGCACCTTCCAACGCACACTTGAGACAAGACGAGGTCGAGTTGTTCAGACAGGAAATGTCGGGGGACCTGAACCTCCAGCATCCTAGAGTAGCTTCATCACTGGTGGCGATGGAGGAGGCTCACAGCAGCACATCCGCAGGAGGGTACGGTTCTTCACTAGAGAAGGCGTCCAGGTGCAATAATGTCCCCATCTTTCAACCTTCTTAACAACGCAATCGTCGTCAACATGCAGCGTGCAATAGCAACAAGTATCCTGACCCGACAAAGCGCATAGACAAGGATTTACATCCTTGTCTAATCGAAATAATCAAGAATCTCTTCATACAAGCCCTCATACCGTACTCTTCATTCAAGAGTACGGTCTCAGATCTAGCAGGACCTTTGCATGCAAAGCAAGTACTGTAGTATATCTCATCATAGATTAGGATCTGAACGGGAGTGGAGGAATACCTTAGACTATGATATCAATTCGTCAATAGCTAGTTCACATCTCATGAACTGTCACTAGAGGTGAACTGGTTGGTGTAGCAGATATGACAACGTTCACCTGACTATTATGTTTATACAGAACTCGGTGAAGTGTTAACCTACTGATCATGTGCATACCGTTCACACACATTTCTGCACATTTCCACAGCTGAAGTGGACAATTGCATGATATGCCTCCTAGCATGAGATGCTATCTTTGTCCCTCGATGTTGCTTCTGTTTTCTTCCGTAGCCATGTGCTCAATTTCCTTCACGAGATGCAGGCACGAGGGTGATATTTAATTTACTACTTTTAATAAAGTGAGATTGGCTACGCGTGTAGAACTATCTCTGGCTAGTCTCTGCATTGATTCCCATAGATTATCGATAGGTCGCCACCATTCTAATATACCCGTAATTATACGAGAAGCAAAACTAAGGTAACAGTATCTTCTCTTGAACTGAAACCAAGTTAAACTCTAGTGAGAATGATAACGTAACTTACTCTTCTCAGAAAAAATTGTGATCATAATCGGAAGCCATAATTTTCGATGTGGTGTATATTTGGATTTGTAATCTGCCAGTATGAACAGATTGCATAGCTTAAAGTTTGGAGCACTAAAAGTTCACTTTAGGTGCTTGATGACCAACATAAACTGTATATTCTGATGTTCTTTCCTTACATTGAACACACACATACACCAAAGAGTCTTTTTAGGTGGAAGACTCCTTAGGTGTGTTTGTTCAGAAGACATTATCACCCTTCTTCTATACCTTGTTCCAGCTCTTTGAAGCCCCTCGTATTTGCTACTCTAATTTGTTTCGGTTTTATTTCTTGTTTCTCATCACTAAATACAATATGATTTTATTTAAAATATTCATTATCTTCTCCACTTTGATTTTACTTTGATAATAAGTTATATGTTATTACTAATGAGGTTTCGGAGTGCTGGATGCCTCTATATTCTCTTCACTCAATTATATACAATTATGATTTAATCAGCAACATACAAATACAGTACTTGATGGTGTTTTCATATTTTTGCAACTTGATATATATCCTTCCAGATTATAATTTTGAGCATTGAAAACTCACAAGCGTATTTGCAAAGTTGTTAACGGTTACTAATGGTTCACATAATATGAAATGATGCTGGGAGACAGTGTACTTGAGACGCTGTTGAGACTCCTCTCAGAACCAGTTCATGACATTTGACGTCGCTCTGCAATACTAAATTCCAGAATAAGGAGTAAAATCACTTTTTAATGGCAGTACAAGAATCACTGCCCATTTATAAAATCCTATTATAGTCATCGGATCGCTTCGTGAGGTCTGGTTTATTCGTATCATTACAAATGTACCAATAAACAAATAATGATTTTATTGAAAGCCAAAATTGTCCAAACTATTTTGTTGATTTTATCGAAAAAACAGAAATGTAGTCTGCTTTAGACTAGATATGTAAAATTCTACTCACAATAATCAATGATTTCCATAAGAATATCAACGGCATGTAGAAGAACTGGAAAGAAGTCAAAAGTAGAGTATGCCCTTTATTTCTTGATCAACAATTGGAGCCCAGCAGTTGAGGAGACACATTGTTCCATGATAGACAGAGGCTTCAGCAGTATCTTTGATCCTAAGCGTGTATCACGGTAGGCAGATTTAGTCTTCACTGCTGTGCTGACCGCAGTTAGCAGTTCTTATTCAATTTTAATCTAGCCTGATTATCGTGGCATTAAATTTGAGCAGATTCTAATGCTTATTACATTTATTTTCGAAAACAACTGAATTTGTCTTCTATCCGGTCCAGATCTGTAGAGTTAAAGCTTAATCTAGATCCTGAGGCAGCAATGAGAGCAGAATTCTCATCGCACTTCCAGGATATTGGATGCTGGATGCCTGTAATTACCAGTTCCAATAGTAGAACACACTCAGAAGTCAGCATATGTCAGCACATGGATCAATACACCCAAGGTGGTGGTATTATCATCCTCGAGTGCCTCCGTATAAATGCTAATAGAAACTTCAAGTGTTAGAGGCGAAAATCCACCTCCGACGAGGCTGACGAAGATGGCGGCGAACATTCAGGAGGTAGACTTTCATTCTGTAAAAGCTGAAAACAGAGGGGATCACCACTTAACAAGTGCTGGAAGACAGACGATGTGTCCCAATGTTGCCTCACCGTGCTTGGAGTCTGACGGCGAAGGATTCAAATCAAAGACCTGTGGATGGTAGTGGAGAAGCAATAGAACTTGGGGAACCTTCAGGAACACCAAAAGAGCGACTAGAATCAAGGATTTGGAGATGGTGATGGAGAAGGAGGAGCAGGAGTAGAAGTTGGGGAAGCTGCAGGAGCTCCAGAAGGGGAAATCGAAGGAAGAGAAGAAGTTGGAGGTGGAGATGGTGATTTAGGAAGAGGGGGAGGAAGATGGGCAAAACGAGGAAGCTTTGGGATTTTGGGAAGAAAAGAGGGACGAGGTGGAAGGGTGGGAAGCTTTGGAATGTACGAAGGACGAGGGGGAAGGGTGGGAAGCTTTGGATTGTAAGAAGGACGAGGGGGAAGAGGGGGAAGAGTGGGAAGAGTGGGAAGAGGTGGAAGATTGGAAGGAAGAGTTGGGAGAGGAGGCAGCGTTGGAAAATCAAGAATGGTGCGAGCTCCCACGACCGAAGGTAAACATGTTGCTGTGAAGAAAATGAAACACATCACTTTCACTGGGAATTCCATCTGAGCTCGATACGTCATCATTATCTCGACAGAAGACTCGACTGGACCTCTCCTTCGTCAAAGAACTGTGCTTTGTCTCGAGCTTCTTCCTGTTCTCCAAGTGGATACTTAATCTTTCATGCTGATGAAGGATGTGCAGAAAGTGAGGTACTTATAGGGGGCCAGATTGTGATTCAGAGCCATGATGGTTTTACTGGAGGCGTGACTTGAGAGTCAGGGCGGGGGTTCGTAATTCCGTCGTAAGTAAGACTATCATGGTAGGTAGGATCTGAGGTTGGCAGTTCGGTAGTAAGTTCTATTTTCCTTGCCGTAGAAGACAATGCGCACGTTCTACGCCTGCAAAACTTGGTTTCTTTCTGACCAATGCTTGAATCTAGGGACCATAGTAATGACCTTTAGAAGTAGTGCTGGATCATGCAGTTTCTGCAGCCAATTCTGCGGAATATTATGTTCAAAATTCTAACTGTCTATGTCAAAATCTATTGTGTTATTAATTCATACCTTGATGCTCGCTGTGAACTAGTCAAATCACCTTTTAAAAAAAGAAAATTGGTCTTTAACCTTTAGTGGCAACAACCCGCAGGAATGTGCCAGGATAGGATCCAGACTTTCAATTTGCCAGATATCCATTTACGTTCTTGGAATTAGATATAATATATTGACACATATGCATATATTTTAAACCATGTATTGCAAATCAAAAACTCTAACACATATTATTATGCATCCACACAATATTAGACATCTGAACAATAGTTTTGCATGCTAAATAGAGACGAAGTTTTTTGCTCATTCATTACAATTGTTAATGTTTTTGGAAATATCGTTGTATGGAGCAACGGTATAATTAAAACTTGGTTTTTCATCTCTCTTATTGCGTAATTTCAAAAGTACTTATGATTTTTCTATGCACAAAATGATAATTCAATTATCCAAGATATTTACGATTTATTAGTAAGTAAATACATGAATATTACAATCGTTACAGATTATGAGATTTATTATCTTGATTAAGTTCTAACCATTTCAAGGTTAAACTAATATGAAATTTTCAATGTGATCTTTGAAGAATCAAGAATATACTACTACAAATATAATTTTCATTTTTTAAGAAGCATACGTTAATTTAAATTTTTTGGAAACTTCGTCTATTCAGATAGAAAAGAGTGATTTTGAAGCATGTAAAATTTCGCATGTTTGGAAGTCAATTTGGGTAGAAATCTTAATTTTATTATTTTATGTTCTGTGAAAAAATATGTGTTGATTAAAGGTAAATTTTTTTAAAAAGATTAAACTTAATGTACATCTAACAACATACATAGTATTTGATGTCGTTAAATAAAACTCTTCACAAATATATATTAATGTTTATGTGATACATCTTTCGGAAGAGAATATACATCTCTATGATTTATATTGACTTACTTTTCAATCAATTGTTGTAGCATATGAAAAAAACTGTATGATATAAAATTAAAGGAAATAAATCAATATAATGAAAAGATTTTAAATTCCAACTCAACTTACATATTTTTTTAATTTGGTATTAGCAAATTGAACTTGAAATTATATTAGAAAAACAAAGTGTTTGCACAATTTATATTTGAGCGTTTTATCTTTTTTGAATGTCATTTTGTGCAAACGGATTACAATGAAATTTAATGAAGTGATTAAAAAACATCTTTAGAAAGTACTCAAAATCACAGTTAAATTTCATTTCAATAAAGTTCATCTGATTTTGTTTATTCCATTTTCTTAAAATAAAATTTTTAATGATTTTTTTAAGATTATTTTCTTGCATTATTGCATCTAACTTTGATTTATACTGTTCGTTAATTTCGATGCAAATAGGTGAAAATACTTCCTGTCTCCGTTCCACTCCATCGGTTGGCTCGTTGTACCGGGTCCTTGGGTGAACGGAGACAGATAGCGGGTAACAATTTCATTCTTTCCAGCAGCTAAGTCAGAGAAAGAAATGGAGTCTCATTTCGAATTATTGTCATTCACCAAAGCAAGAGTAGACGGCGCCAAGAACGGGTAAACAGGAATGCACTAACCGGGCTCGGCTCTGAAGGTCGATGAGCAGAGGCACCGCGTGTGCCTTTGGAATACGTTTCTGCCCAGGGGCAGAAGGGCAACGAATATGGATGGCATCCCGATGGCGACCGACAATCAGCGTGAACCCAAAAGCACGAGGACCTAACATGACACGAGAACGCTCCCCCGGAATCTGCACCAGCTTCCGTGAGCTCGAATGTAGACCTGATGAGCACGACAAGCCACCGAAGCTGGCACTGAGCACTAGTCGAAATATTTTTCAGTATTCTCAGACGGACAGGCGCATGACGAATGGTCGGGGTGGTGACTCCTTGACACGTGGGCGGATCGCTCCCTCAGACGCACACTTGAGACAAGACGAGGTCGAGTTGTGCAGACAGGAAACGGAAGGGGACCTCAACCTCCAGGGCCCTAGAGAAGCTTCACCAGCGGTGACGATGTAGCAGCCACAACAGGGCACGGTTCTTCAGTAGAGGAGGCCTCCAGGTGCAATAATGTCCCCCTATTTGAAGCTTCTTGACGACGCAATCGTCGTCAGCATGCAACGTGCAAGAGCACTCTGGCCACCAACAATTATTCTGATCCGATAGAGCGCGTAGACATGGATTGTCATTTGACAAGCAAAAAAATTAGAAAAATTTCTGGATACAATCACACTTCTGTAACCCTCACACTTTGGTCTCACACTTTGGTCTCGGATCTGGCAAGACCTCTGCATGCTCATGCTGGGCATGCAGAGTAAGTAACATACCTCATCATAGATTGAGATCTGAATGGGAGTGGAGAAATATCATAGAGTAAGATATCAGTTCTTCGATGGTGAGATAGCATCTTCTGAACTTCCCAACATCTTCTTATGAACTGTCACTCGAGGTGAACTGGTTGGTGTAGCAGATATGACAACGTTCACCAGACGATTATGTTCATACCGAATCCGGTGAAGCGTGATGTCACTGATCAGCTTCCTGCACATTTCTATAGCTGAAGTGGACAATTGCATGATTCGCTTCGCAACGGTCATCATAAGCAGAAGCATCTTCCACAAATTATATTTGGATCTAAATTTCCGGTAGACTGATGTCGCTGTTCACGTGATCTGTTATCGTGGGCTCAGCTCATAATTGACCATAGACAATTTACTTCCCTTTCGTTCTCCATCTGTCGATGGTTCAGCCCTCTGACGCCAACAAATATACCTTCCAAAGTTATACCACCTTGGCCACCCTATCGTATTTAGGCAATCCAAAAGTGGGTGAGCTTAAGTTCAGGATGCTTGCTTTGTACTTCGATCTTCTATAACATGCTTCTGTATTCTTTCGGAGCCATTTGCTATAATTTCCTGCACCAGATTCGGGCACGCGGATGATCTTGAGTTTATTTCGGTTATTAAGCGAATTTGTTGCAACGTGTGTAATACGATCATTGGATGTTCTTTGACTCCCTTAGATTAGCAATAGGTCGCCACCAATACATCAGTATAAGAGAAGCAACACTGAGATAGTAGCTTTTTCTCTTGAACTGAAATCAAGCTAAAATTTATCGAGATTGATAACCTCACCAGGTCTTCCCAGCCAAGGTTTTGATCATAATCGGAAGCAATAATCATTGATGAGGTGTGTACTTTGATTTCTCGGTATTGGATTTCCGAGTGTTAGCTATTTTCCACAAACCTTTTTGCATCGAAGATGTCATATAGAAATTTGCATTCAGAGTATGATGGTAAGTTTCTTCGATTGCAAGTTTGATTCATCTCATTTTGCACGTGGTTTCTACACTTTTCCGTTTGTATAAATTCATGTATAAGTTCATGAATATGAGACATGCTATCATTAATTTGAGTATACCAAGCCAAATAAAGTATGTGAAGCGTTGTGCGTAAGATAGTAGGAAATCCCAAGGTTTTCATGCAATGCCTTCTCCCTGCATGATACCAACCTGAACCTCATGGAAGAAGATCAACTCTAATGATCAGAAAGTAACATACCTGAAAAAAATACGATGATGCATATTAAACATTCAAATATGAAATTCCAAGTTCAGCATAGCTCAGGTTAAGCCCAATCATATAAAATATCATTGAATCTGCAACGTATAATTCCAGTGATGAAGGTGTTTTCATATGTTTGCACCGTGATATACATCCTTCCAGGCTACAAATTTGAGCATCCAAAACTCACAAATATATTTGAAAAACGGATCGCAAAATGTGAAATGATGCTGAGTGACAATCTACTTAAGACGCTCTTCAGACTCCTCTCATTACCAGTTCATTATATTTGAAGTCGATCTGCAATCCTTAAAGCTTCCAGAGCAGGGAGTGAAACTGAGTTTTCAATTGCGGTACAATATTCTCTGTTCATTACTTGCTCCTATTCTAGTCATCGGAAATCGAAGGAATTGATTCGTAAGTTACAGTTGATGCACAAATCGCACAATGTACCAGAAAACTGTTGAACTGATTTGCTTCAGATCAAAATATATCCGAAGTTTGTTGTTCCTTCATCTTGAGAGACTGCTATGGAGCGTGCTTCAAATAAGAACTGCAATATTCTACCTACAGCAATTAAATGGTGTCCACGAGAATATCCAAGGCATGTAGAAGAATTGGGAAGAAGTCTCCGAAGTTGAGCATGGCCTTTATTTCTTGATCAACAAATGGAGCCCAGCAGTTCCAGAGACATGCTCTTTCATGATAGAAAGAGGCTTCATCAGTATCTATTATCATACGCATGTATAACGGTGGGCACTCTTTGTCTTCACTGCTGAGCTCCACGAAGCTGGCAGTTCTTATTCAATTTCAATCTAGCTTGACTACCATGGCGATAAACTTTAGCAAATTTTACTGCTTATTACATTTATGCAGTTTTTATCAAAATAACTGAAAATCGTCTCTGATCCGGTCCTGATATGGAGAGTAAACGCCTAGTCTAGATCCTCAGGCA